ATCGCACATGCTTCCGTGCCTTTTCCTACCAATCATTAGGGTCAATGTTCATTGCCACTTGATTCACAGATTTTATTCAGAGTTGTGAGGTTTATTACGGAGATAGTCTGGGAAGAGGGGGAGGCAATGAATATCACACAAGGCAAATCCAAGTTCAGTTCAGCAGGCCCAAGACAGATTCACAACAAGACACAATTATTTCAGACAGCTTCTTAGTCAACAAGTGTAAGTCTAAGTTCAGTTCAGCAGCACAAATGCACCTCTGGGTTCCTCAGTCATCTGACAAGCTTTATCTCAGAGCAGTTACAAGTCAACTTTTCCTTCCAGCAAGAATTTTGGCTTCACTTCCAGGGTTCCTCTGGTTACACCTTGCCACAGTCTCTCACAGTCCCTTCACAGCAGTGCCACAGTCTCTTCACCCTCTCTCCATCACCATTTTTACCGTGCAGAAAGTGTTCTATTGATTCCACAGATGTTGATTTGCAAGAACATGGATCTGCAGTTAAGGAAGCTGAAGACCATGCCCCCAGTGACAGATTTGCAATGGACAGAAAAGCCGATTTTCAAGACACCACAAGGGTCTTCTTCTCCTTTATGGACCCTCTGCTTTTCCCAAGCATGATATCTTTTACGAGGAACTGGCCTGACAAGATGCCCAAAGAATGTGGGAAGAAGTTTCACATCTTTGTTTCTGAACAACACCCTAGCTGAACTTCCAAAACAGATTTACATGTTTTTTCAGCAGTGCATAAGAAAGCCAACACTTTTAGTAAATACCACAACTCGAAGGCATCCGTGCTTCGATCTCACTGAGTGTACCCACAACAGAAGGAAGCTCTGCCTGGTCATTCGTCATCCTCAAAACCTTTGCTGTGTTTGAGCCCATTGTTGCAAGCACTGTATAAATCCATCTCGAAGATCTCCATCTTTTCCACTGACCTACTTTTTCCAAGCATGAGGTCAGTCTCCAGGGACTGGTTCCTCCTGATAACACGGTCAAAGTGTACGAGACCAAACCCCACTGTCTTGGCGTCTCAGGAGTACTCTGGATGCACTTTCTCTATGACAGACTTGTTTGTTTTTTCTGGAAATCCATCTCCTTTGTGGTCGTTTTGTACTGTAGAGTTGGAACCAACCTGTAGCCAACCCTCTGGTGGGTTTTCTGAGACCGTTTATTGCACGAGAGGCAATTGTCCCTCCTTCTCCCAGGGAGCAGCTGGTGGCCTCGAACTGTGTGCCTTCAGGATTGCAGTGCAGCTTCTTGCCACTAGATCACCAGAGCTCCCTATCCTTTACCAACAAAATAGTCCAAGGCATGAGTTCTTCTTTGGTCCTTCTAACTCACTGTCTCACAGGTCTCACGTGTGTATGAATGGACCAAAACCAGCACAACTTGAAGCAAATATGCCTTTTGGAACCCAAAGAGTCACCCTTGCCATTTCATACTTCAGTCACTCTTTAAGTCAACTTTGTGGTGCAAAGGCCAGCCAAACAATAAACAGGCCTATAAAATGCCAAGTGCCGCTACCAAGGTATGAAGATCAAGTGCGGCCAGCCTTGCAAGCCTAAAGGGCAGGCTTTGCCCAAGGAAATATTCAGAAGGTAGGAAAAAAAATGGGGAAGAGGACAGATGGAAATGATGAACACAGGAGGAGGTGGGAAGAGTGATGGTTTGAGGAACTTTAAGTGTGTGGTACCCCGTCTTCAATTCTCTCAGAGCTGCTTGGCTTCTCTACATAACTTCTGCATTATATTGTCTGTACATGTATGTCTGGGAAAAATAAGCCAATCTCTGTCTCTTACTGATCTGATAGGGTCTGGTGTGACACTCGGCCCTTAGGCGCCCTTTCACCTATTCAGCTACTTGATAGGCCTGTAACATGACCCGTAGCACCAGAGAGGAGGAGCACACGCCTTAGGACAGCTACCCTGCAAGGTCAAAGGGCCTGTCCAAGGAGGAGGTTCAGAGGACAGGAGCGGGTAGGAGGAGACAGAGTGGAGACAGTAAACATGAGGACGAAGGGAAAGAGAGACGTCCATTGTGGAGAAACACCTACGTCACAGAACAAACCGTGTGTGGACTGTTGAACGGAGAATGGACTAGCTCTGCAAACTTACCCCCAAATGACAACAAAAAGCTGTGTTGGTTTTTTGGGTTTTTTTTTTTCCAAGTTGTATGGATTTAAGATGTTTCTCTCAATATGTGTTGGTTTTTAAAAGAGAAATTGTCGCCGTCATTGTTAGGTAGACTCACAGGGACCCTTTGAATGGAAGACCTGAGCACTGTTCATAGGGTTTCCAGAGGCAAGCCATTTCGGAAGTGGATGCCACTCCTGCTTCCAGGCTTGCTTTAATTGGGGAGCTCCACCAAACACTGCCCGTCATGGGTAACCATTATCGCATTCGACACATTTAAGGCACAGGCACAGGGCTAGATGAACAGACCAGAGAAATAAAGTTGAAATCCTTGAAACAGCCCAATTCAATGAGAAGTAGAGACTTCTCCAAAGAATGGTGCCAGCACCTATGACTATCTGTCTTACAGCAGGGCTAATAATAATGCACTTAGCCAACCGCAAGGGCTGTGAGGAATGTGTAATATTTTTTAATTTGCAAGAGAAGTATCTTAGTATTTACATTATTGACAATTTCTATGTGAAGGCCCTGTTCATATTTCTCATCATTTTTCAAGGTTTAATTTTTTTCTATTGTCATGGCCAGCCACCATGGAGTCAGATCTCATTTAACCTTAAATCCAGTGCAAGCAAACAGTGGCCAGTCCACCATCTGCTTTATTCATGGTCAGAGTGGAGCCCTTAATTGTAGTCACTGTATCAATCTATCTCATTAAGGACCTACCTTCCTCTTTGTTTGTAGACTCTCTACATTCTCAAGTTCAATGTCCTTATGGTTATATTTTCTGATTACATTGTATATACTTTTTGGATATTTAGTAAAATAATCTTTTATTATAACAACTATTCACACACACACACACACACACACACACACACACACACACATAACAAAACACCAAACCAACAAACACAAAACCCTGATTGGTTTAAGACACATCTCATAGTGCTATGATGTCATTAACAAAACCAAGAGAAACTCTGTTCCCAGATGGGATTATAGCCACAGGGATGAGGTTAGTATTCCAGCACATATTTTGAGGGGACCTAAGTCTGTTCAGACTCTGTAATGGCCTTCTAGAACAGAACTAACTAGTGGAACTGACAAGACATCTTTACAGAACTAGACAGCTGCATCTTCCTCCTGTGAACAGCTAGTAGATCTGAACTGACAGTCTTTGGTTGGCAACTAAGTGCTTTAGCAGTTGTGCCACCAGAGTAGTTTACCTTCCAGCCATTATCTACACCATTTGAAAGTATATCATATTCTTAAGAGTGGAAGGTCAAATACACTGGCAAAGAAAAAATAATAGTACTCTATGGTACAACTTAGAAGTTCTGGTGACCTTGTGGTGAGGAACGCAGAGCCAACCCAAAGGCACCTGATTCAAATCCACTTGATGCACCATAGAAGAAACATGGGCAACCAACTTCCGTGTGATCTGAAGCCTCTGAACACTCGATAGACGGTCAGCTATGAGTCAGTTCCCACTTGACAGCACACAACAACAACAACAAAGTGCACCTATTGGTCTCTATCCAAAGCAGAGTGGAGAAAAGCAAAGATGTATGGCAACAATTAGATGGAAGGTCTAACAGACCAGCTGCCCTCCAGGAGAAGGATGGGCAATCTTCTCCCATGGGATTTACAGCCTCTGACAATCCGCTGAAGGGTCAGCTATGGATCGGTTCTGACTCAACAGTATACAACACCACACATATACATGGGAGTGCTGGTGGCCTAGTGGTAAGGAGTCGAGCTGCCAACCCAAAGACAAACGGTTCAAAGCCACCAGCTACTCTGAGGGAGAAGGATGGGCAGCTTTCGACCTGTGGTTTATAGCCTCTGGATTCAGCTCCAACTCTGTGGTAATGAGTTAGACTGGTAGAAATAGGTCAGACTGTTCTTTCAAAGGAGGAAACCTTCCCAGATCGAGATATCTCTCTCTCTCTCTCTCTCTCTCTCTCTCTCTCTCTCTCACACACACACACACACACACACACACACACACACACACACACAGTAAGGACGCTTTTGTTTTGAAGTGTTTGTATCATTAATGGTATCCTTCATTAACCCTCACCATCCCCACGATGCTGAAAGCTTGCAGCGCCAAGAGGCCCAGGTCAGCCACGTAGGTGGCAGGTTTGAGTCTGGATCTAGGACATGGCAGGGTCGGGGGTGGGGTGGCTCCCAGGTTCAGAGTGAAGCCAGGGTGCTCCACCCGTGCGCTGTCGCCTGATGGTCCCTCTTCCCCTTCAGGATTTCAAAGTCTGAGGGAAGAGGGGCTGGGGAGGGGTCAAGATTATTAGGTCTGAGGGAGGAGGCTGGGATGACCCCGGGACAAACATCAGACTCCACTCCTGAGCTCTCTCCACCAAAGCCTGGGGCGGGGGCCAGGCCGAGGAGAGGGCGTGAAAGCAAACAGCACAAGAGGCGGCTCCTGGGTTTGAGAAGGTGGACTTTAGTTAATCTGTGTTGGCTCATCAGTTGTAACAAATAGTAATGCAAGATGTTAGGAAGTCCGCAGACTCCGGTCCCCACCCCTGCGCCGGCCACCCTGAGGCTGCCCCAGACCCCGCCCAGCCGTGCGGGCGAAGCGCCCATGACGCTAGGTGGCCACACCTGGAGCACACCTGCAGGCGCGACCGGGACCTGATAGGCCAGGGCAGTGGATGACGCAATCCGGGGAGTACTAAAAGGGCTCACAGAGTGGCTTCGGGTCCGACTGCTGGCTCTGTCCCAGCTCCATCCCTCTCTTTCGGCCTTTCTCTTCCCAGGGGTCCCGTTCCGGACCCATCCACCCACAACCGACTCCCCCCTCGGCCAAATTCCCACCCGCTCCCCAGACCCGCCCCTGCACCATGAGCACCTTCGAAACTGACGGCAGCTGGAGCGTGTCCTTCACCGGCGCGGGCTTCTTGGCCATCTACCACGTGGGCGTGTGCCAGTGCCTGCGGGAGCGCGCCCCGCGCATCCTCCAGGGCGCGCGCCGCTTGTACGGCTCCTCCTCGGGGGCGCTCAGCGCGCTGGCCTTCACCTGCGGCAAGTCTGTCGGTGGGTCCGGGGCAGGAGACTGGGGACCCTTCCAAAACCCGACCTAGGGCCCTTCTCAGGGGTCCGCCTGGTGTCTGTCCCAGCGTGGCTTCATGGGCTTCTGATGAGAATCCGAGGATATGGGTCGAGTCACGCCATTTCATAGAGTTACCCCATTTTATAGAGTATTTCCAAGCTGCCAGCATGGGAAGCCACGGGCGGAGAAGGTAGGCGCAGGATTTGAACTATGGCTGCGCACAGAAATTTCAAACAGGAGAGCTGACGAGTATCTCAGCCCCCTTTGTCCGCCCACCTGCAGACTTCTGCTGTTTCCACCTCCTGGGCATGGTCAAGGTCATCCACCAACTCAGTCTGGGCATCTTCCACCCGGCCTTCGCTCCCATCGAGTTCATCGCTAAGGAGCTGCACGCCACACTGCCGGCCAACGCTCACATCTTGGCCTCTGGGAAGCTGGGCATCTCGGTGACCCGCTGGTCTGATGGTCAGAACGTCATCTTTAGCGACTTCGCCACCCGTAATGAGCTCATCCAGGTGGGTAAGTGCGTGGCAAGGGCCTCTTAGGCACTTCCCAGGGGCTGAGCATCCGCAGGTGGGGCCACTTCACAGGAGCTGAGTACCCACAGGTGGAGGCTGGGGCCTCCCAGGGACAGATCCCCCTCAGGTGGAGGGGGGATGAGAATCTTGAGCTTTTTTGGTTTGTTTCCAAGTGGGGAAACTGAGGCCCAGAGCCGTCACTCCTTGAGAAAGAGGATCTCAGCTGGGTTAGGGAGGGTCCCTGGCTACAGAGAAGGCTCTGGGGGAGGGAGCAGGACCAGGCTTCCCAAGCTCTCCCTCCCCCACGGTTGGTCTTTCCAGAGGGTGCCTGCCACCCCCCACCTCCCCAACTTGGAGCAAACATGTCTTAAATGCCAATTACATGTCTGTCACATTTCCAATGCTGTGAGCATCATAGTGAACAAAACAGATGCAACTCCCAGGCTTCTTTGGGCTGATACCGGAGTCCTGTGTGTGTTTGGGGGGAGGAGGAGGTGTGGGGTGTAGGTGGATGACGGGCCTGCAACCTCTGGGTTAACAATGGAGTTAGTTAACCACTGCACCACCAGGCTCTTAGGGCTTCTCAGTAGATGAGCTCTTGTCAATCTTTACTCCGCAGGAGGAAGGCTCTCACTCTTCCTTCCCTGTCCCCAATCCCTGGGCTCTCTGTGTGAGCTGAAGGGATGGATCTGGGACCCCTGAGAGAGGGCGTCTGTTCTCTGGGCTCTTGGACTGCAGACTGATAACTCTCCCAAGGGCAGTTTTGCTCTCTTGGGCCAGACTGGTGTGCTACTGGCACCTGTTGTTGTTGTTGTTGTTGTGTGGTGTCCAGTTGGAACCCACCCATAGCTGACCTTCCAGTGGGTAAATGACCGGAAGGAGGCAGTTCACTCTGAATGCGTGGAATTGCAGCGTGGATTCCTAGCACCAGGCCACTGGAGTCCCAAGGTCTGGAGGCACCTGTTGTTGTTGCTGTGTACCATAGAGTTGGAATTGGCCTATAGCTGATCTCCAGGTTTTCAGAGGCAGTTAATCGCTGGGGAGGAGATTTGTCTATCTTTCTCCTGAGGAGCAACTGGTGGCCCTGAACCGTGTGACTTAGGAATTGCCGCACAGCTTCTTGCCACTAGGCCACCAGAGCTCTCCAGACACCTAGAAGCCACTAAGAAGTTAATTCAGCAAGTAAGCCCACCCCATGCAGTCGGTTCCAGCACATCTCCACCCTGTAGGACGGTGTGGCGTCACCGCACAGAGTTCCCAAGGCTGAGCATCTTTACAGAAGCTGCCTGCCTGCTGTCTCCTGAAGAGCAGCGGGGAGTCGAACCTCTGACCTTCGGCTGTATGTAGATGGCTCTGAATTAGAACCAGCTCAGTGGCATCTAACAACAGCAGCTTTTAGGTGGCCAGCTGAGCACTTTAATCATTGTGCCATCCGGCTCTTAAACACTGTCTCCCGCAGCCCAGCGTGCTCCTTGGAGGAACGGTGACAAAGCTCCGTCTGACACATTTGGGGATGTTGCTAGGAGAGGCTACTCCTTGGGGAAGGACATCATGCTTGGAAAGGTGGACAGTCTGTGAAAGAGAGGATGACCTTCAGTCGGAGAGATTGACACAGTGACCGCAGCAGTCGGCTCAAGCATTTCAGAGAGGATGAGGATGGCACAGGACAGGACAGCACTCAGCTCTCTTCTTCACAGGGTCGCTATGAGTTATGTTTGACTCAATGGCACCAAATAACCATAATGACCCCCAGACAGGCCAGTCCTGCCAGAGGGAACTGTCCAGCCCTAAAGCCAGTAGTGCTGAAGTGGAGAAAATCTGCTCTATTTTCTGACTCTTTTTTCCTCTCTTATTATTATTATTATTGTTGTTGTTGTTGTTAATTTTAATGAAAGTTTACAGAGATTTTTGGATTTCCATTCATTCATTGTTGCACTTTTCTCCCTGCCCACCCCTCCCCTCCAGTTTGGTCTTCTTTTTGAAAAGTAAAAGTCTTTCGTTGCTATACAATCCCTCCCAGGTCCACTCCACTGTGTAGCCTGTTCTGGACCCCTGTCATGACAGTAATGCCTGATCATATATACCTTTTGAACCGTTCTCTCCCTCATCTGTTTCAATGCAGTACGCATAATTTAGCCCATCTTTCTCAGTCTCCCCCTCCCCCCAAGCCCTCTGCTTCTGACTCTTTCTTACCTGTAGGACTTGTCAGAGCCTTTCCAGAGGAGGAGCCCTATCTGCAGAGGAAGGATGGGCATCAGGACAAGCCAGCGTCTTCTCTCTTTTAACTTGGAGAACCTGGTTGTGTTGTGACATTTCCGGGGGTCCCAGTTCCCTCATGTACCAACTTTGACAACTGCTTGGGGGGGGGGTGACACTCCATAACCCAAGTAGGTCCTGAGCAGAAGGCAGTCAAACGATGTTACTGTTACTCCTCCCAGCTTTTGTCTCCCTAGGCCTTAGTCTGTACCACATATGTCCCCTTCTACTGTGGAGTGATCCCCCCGGAGTTCAGAGGGGAGGTAAGTGCATTTTCGGGGATTATCACTGAACCTCTTGCCCTGAGTCCAAGAGCACCTCCTGGGTGCCAGACCCCGCCCCCCCCATACTCCTGAGGGGTGCGCTGATGAGGCATGGCTGGAGTGCACCCAGGAAGTCCAGGGCACCCAGAGAGTGACCAGTGTCTCTAGGAGGTGGAGGGGACAACAGGTGACCCCAGAGAGCAGCAATACCCACGCTCTCCGTCTCCACGTTTCAGCGCTACGTCGATGGTGGTCTGAGCAACAATGTGCCCTTCGAGGACGCCAAGTCCACCATCACCGTGTCCCCCTTCTGTGGGACATATGACATCTGTCCCCAGAGTACCTCGGCCAGCTTTCTTGAGATGAACCTAAGCAACACCAGCATCCGGCTGTCCACCAGCAACTTCTCCATGCTCATGTGTAGCCTCTTCCCCCCGAGTCCCGAGGTAGGCCTGACCACAGACCCAGCCTCACAGGCCCACAGAGGCCCAGGCATGACGGGAACCCCGTGGGCTGGCCTCAAGGTCCAGCTCAGACACATGTCCCATGCTCACGGTCGAGGACAGGTCACACAGGACTGGATCCTCTGTCTGGGCTCTGGGCATGTCCTTCCTGTGACTTTCCTGGGCAGAAGTTGAGTTAGTTGAGGCTTGGCTCCAGCCCAGCCATCACCTGGCTTGTGTCCCCCTATGCCTGAGGGCTGTCGACGCCTCTATTTGTCAGGGGAGGACACTAAACTCAGATGTGGAGAGTGACACGTTTAAAGTCACGTTACTTGGAAGTGTGACAAGGCCAGGATTCACATCCCTCAATGGCCACACGCCTTCCCCTCACTGCCCTCGAGTGTGACCCCACAGTGACCATCGTGTGGGGAGGAGGCTCAGTGAACGCGGACCACCTGTGTGTGAATGAGCGGAACACCACAAACCAGACCCAATGTGGAATCAATCCTGCTTGTGTAAGCACAGCAACTCCACCAGGGACGGCTTTAACAAACAGGAATTTACTTTCTCAGAGTTTGTAGTTGTTAGCAAAAATCTGCTGTCAGAGACCCTCTCCAGAGTACTGAGAAACAAAGATGTCAGTCTAGAGACTAAGGTGCACCTGATCCAGGCCATGGTCTTTGCAGTTACTTGCCATGCATCAGAGAGCTGAACAATAACTAAAGATGACAGAAGAATTGATGCCTTTGACTTGTGGTGCTGGAAAAGAGTACTAACATACCATGGACCACCAAGAAAACAAACAGGTCTATTTTGGAGAGTGTGAAACCAAGTTTCTCCTTGGAAGCAAGGATTGTGAAGCTGTCTCGCATACTTTGGGCACATGGCCAGGAGTGACCAGTCTTTAGAGAAGGACATCATTCTCAGGAGGGTGGAGGGAGAGCACAGGAGAGGAAGACCTTTAATGAGATGGATTGATAGAGTAACTGGGGCAATGAGAGAAAGTGTGTCGGAGTCAGTGAGACAGGCTCAGGACAGGGCAGGCTGCAGAGCTGTTGTTCAGAGGGTCGCTATGAGTTGCAGGCTACTCGATGGCACATAACAACAGCAACAGACTGATAACCTGCCATATCTCCCCGCCGCCTCCCTCACCGTTTGCTGTATTTGTGTTGTTGTGTACCATCGAGTCAGAACTAACTCCTGAGTGAGCCTCCAGCGGTTTCTGGATGCTGTAAATCACATGAGAAGAGCAGCTGGCCGATTTCTAGTCGCACGGGAGGAGCAGCTGGCCGATTTCTAATCACAAGAGAGGAGCAGCTGACTGATTTCTAATCACAGGCGTCTGGGTTGGCAGCAGAGCTCTTTCTAACTGAGCCACCAGAGCTGTGCTTTACAAAACAAGGCCACGGTCACTCACCGTGGTCCTCCCCACAGCCCAGGGGTGCTCAGAAGTTATCTGCCCCATTTCACGAAGCAGCGGAGGTCCTAGGAATGTGATGCAGCTGTTCCAAGGTCCCACAGCAAGGGAGACAAAGCCTTCTTCCACCAAGGGCTCTAGTGGAGATGGACAGGGCTGGGCCCTGGATGCTCTGTCCATCTCAGGCTGCTATGGGCAGGAACATCAAGCATCCAGTGCCCTCAGGTGTCCCAGTTGGCACAGACTGGGCCTCGGTATCCTGTTTTCCAGAGAGTCAGGGCTGGAGCAAGGCCCCCCAGCCAGGGAGTCTTGGTGGGGGGGAGGAATGGCAGGGGGAGGGGCTGGGACGCAGCATAAGTGGCTCTGTCCTGCCTGTGGTCCTTCTGCCCCGCAGAGTGATCCCTGAGGGTGTGCCTATTGAGCTGGGATAGCACCCAGCTGTTGACGAGTGGAGCAGCAGTGCACCCCACCCCTCTCCCACCTGTGTGTTCTCAGACATTGGCTGACCTTGGCAGACAAGGCTACCTGGATGCCATGAGATTCCTGGAGAGACGAGGTAGGTGACGGCATGGAAGCTGACTGCCTCCTGGGAGCTGGAGCTGCTGGGGCACTGGGCGCAGGCACCCCCATCCACAGCAGTGGCTCTGTATTTCATCTCAACGGAAGCTCAGGACCTGGAGAGGGGTCACAGCCAGTGAGGGGGCACAGTCACCGAGGGATAGCCCAAGGTGAGGGACCCAAGGAGACACCTGGCCAGCTGACGGAGCAAGAGGGCTTCCTGGAGGCAGTAACACAAGTTGGGCTTTGACTGAAGATAAAGGTTATGGTCAGGTTGAAGGTCACGACAGAGGACATTCCAGGGAGCAGGGTGAGAGGAGGACAATATTTGGAGGATGGTGCTCTGAGGAAGCTGTGTGTGTGTGTGTGTGTGTGTGTGTGTGTGTGTGTGTGAAGCATGTGTAACTGTGTCTATATGCATGTGTGAGGGTATTGGATGTATGTATATGTGTGTGCACAAATGCATGTGTATATAAGTATGTGGTTTGTGCACGTGTGTTGTGTGTTTATGGATATGCTTGTGCGAGTATGGCAGTATGTGTTTGTGTATGTGCATATAATGTGTCATCAACAACCCGCATTATGCAGACAACACAATCTTGCTTGTAGAAAGTAAAAGAAACTTGAAACACTTGCAGAAGATCAAAGAATACAGCTTTTCATATGGATACTATCAAATACTGAAGAGCAACAACATCAGGCTGGAGACTAAGGTGCACCTGATCCAGGCTATGTTGTTGTTGTTGTTAAGTGCCGTCAAGTCGCAGGCAACTCATAGCGACCCTATGAAGGGGAGTCCTCTACACTTGGGTGCCTTTCTTCCTCTCTCCAGGTTCATAGGATTTCCAGAGACAAGCTATTACGGAAGTGGATACCACTCCTCCTTCCAAGCTTGTTTTCATTGGGGAGCTCCAGTCTTCGCAATTACATACTATGCATCGGAGAGTTGGACAGTGAATAGGGATGATAGAAAGAGAATTGATGCCTTTGAGCTGTGGTGCTGGAGAAGAGTGTTGAATATACCACGGACTGCTAGCAAAACAAACAGGTTTGTCCTGGAGAGGGTGAAGCCGGAAGGCTCCTTGGCGTCAAGGATTCTGAAGCTCCATCTGACATACTTTGGGCATGTTGCAAGGAGAGACTGGTCCTTGAAGAGAGATATTATGTTTGGGAGAGTGGAGGGACGGCGCAGGAAAGGAAGACCCTCGGTGAGATAGATTGATTCTGTGATTGGGGTGGTGGGAATGAGTGTGTTTGAGACGGTGAGGTTGGCACAGGATAGAACGGTGTTTAGGGCTCTTGTACATAGGGTCGCTATGAGTCACAGGCGACTCGATGGCACACAACAACAACAACATCGCAACATCAAGAAAACAAAAGTCCTCTCCAATGGTCCAAAAGAGCACATGATGAAAGGAGAATGGATTGAAGTCGTCAATGGTTTCATTGTACTTGAACTCACAATCAAGATGCATATTGTAACAGCAGCCAAGAAATCGAAAGACATTTGTACATGTGTGTGTTTGACTGGGAAAGACACTGCTGTGTGAAGAACCTCAGTCACAAAGGACAAGTACTGCATAACACCACTGTTCTAAAACAGGACTGACATTGGGGGATTGGGAGGAGAATTGGAAAACAGTGGATCGATAATGAACTCCATATTGGAGCAGATGAAGGAAAGAACTGTTTTATAGGAATATATGATTAGGTATTATATGGAAGAGAACAGTCCAGAATAAGAGGTACATTGCAAAGAGGACTGGGGAGAGGGCGGAGGAGATTTTACAATAATGAATGAATATTTTTTAAAAAGAAGAAAGTGACCTGGGGTCAGGGAGGGAGGGAAAATGTACAACAAGAATGAATGAAAATTCAACTTTTCTGTACACTTTAGTTAAAATCACAATTGAAAGAAAATATTTTATTATTGTTATGTGCTGTTGAGTCACCTGTGACTCATAGCGACTCTTTGTACAACAGTCCTAAACCCTGCCCTATGCTGTGCCAATCTTATTGTTTCTGACACACCTACCCCTTTTACCTGAGTCACTGAATCGATGCATCTCGTCAAGGGTCTTCCTCTTCTGCACCGCCGCTCCACTGGTCCCTCCTTGCAACATGTTCAAATTATGTCAGATGGAGCTGCAGAATCCCTGCCTTTAAGGAGCAGCCTGGCTTCACCCTCTCCAGGACATTTTATTATTGTTGTTGCTGTTAAGTGCCTTCGAGTTGCAGGCAACTCATAGCAACCCTATGAACCGAAGTCCTGGACACCTCCTGTATAACTTTCGTCCTTTCTCCAGGTTCATAGGGTTTCCTGAGGCAAGCTATTGTGGAAGTGGGTGCCACTCCTTCCAAGCTTGTTTTAATTGGGGAGCTCCACCAAACACTGTCAACCATGGGTAACCATTATCACATTTGACTCCTCAATGTCACAGTATTCGGCTTCACAGCAACCACAAGTTACCTCTGTACAGCAAGTGGACATACCAGGGTTACATGACCTAGAAGAATGTTTCACACAAAAAAAGGAAGTGTCTGGGACTTTCGTTCATAGGGTCACTATGAGTTGCCTGCAACTCGACGGCACTTGACAACAACAGCAGAGAGAGCGCATGAGAGAGAGCAGTTGGCCTAGCGGATGGAAAGCCACGCTCCCAAGCCAAAGGGGAGTGGCTACTCCGCAACCCTCAGGCCTGCCTTTGTTTTTGGTGAAACATTCCTCTAGGTTGTGTAATCCTGGTCTGCCCACTTGCTGTACAGAGGTAATTCCTGGTTGCTGTGAAGCCGAACACTGTGATACTAATAAGTCAAATGCAAGAATGGTTACTCATGGTGGACAGTGTGGGGTGGAGCTTCCTGATTAAAACAAGCTTGGAAGCAGGAGTGGCATCCACTTCCATAATAGCTTGCCTCTGGAAATCCTATGAACCTGGAGAAAGGATGAAAGTTAACAGGAGGTGTCCAGGACTTTTATTCACAGGGTCGCTATAAGTCGCCTGTGACTCGAGGGCACTTAACACCACCACCAAGAACAACAGCATAGAGAGAGAGAGTGGTGGGTCTAGTGGACAGAAAGCCTTACTCCCAAGCCAAAGGTGGGTGACTCTACTCCATGGTAAAAAATCCAGAGACATGTTACATTGGGGAGGTCTCCTGTCAAGGACCCCTCCACAGCACTAAAGAGCAAGGGTGCCACTTAAAAACTCACGGGGGACTGTTCCAAGCCACAGTTTTCCCATTTGCTTCCTATGCATCTGAAGTTGGCTAATGAGCGAGAATGACAGAGTCATTGGTGCCTTTGAGTTAGGGTGTTGGGCTTCCTTGAACTGGAAGAACACACAAGTCTGTCTTGGAGAAAATGCAAGTAGGGTGCTCCTTTAGGACTAGGATACTTTGTGCACGTGGTGAGGAGCAGCTGGTCTTTGGAAAAAAGACATCCTTCTGGGAAACATGGAGGGTCAGGGAAGAGCGGAAGGCCCCCAACCTGGTTACAACAGTGGGCTTGAGCGCGACATAAGAGGGTGAGAATGGTGCAGGACAGCACAGGTTTCAGGTCTGTCATTCAAGTCACTGTGAGTCACAGTCAAGTAGACACACTTCACCACGTGTGTATGTGGTGTAAACTGTCTGAGGTGTGTATGCATCTGTGTATATGTAAATATGTGAGTATGCATGTACGTGTGTACACATATGTGCATTTCTCTGTACATGTGTGCGTGCGTGCGTGTGTAAGAGGAACAGAGTTCACGGGTGACGGGGGCACCCAGGAGCCCCTCTGGGATGAGGAGTCTGGCTGTCATCCTACAGTGATAAATGTGGTCCAGACCCAAGCTGTCAGGCCTCAGAACCTGTCCCCAGGTCCTCGCCCCCAGGTGACGGCTCAGAGCAGCCCCAGTGGTGGTAGCACGAGCTGAGAACACGGGACACTCCCAGTGCTGCCTGGAGCCTCACACAGTGTTCTTTTCTCAGAGCACACATGCCAAGCAGGTCTTGAGTTTTGCTTTCATAGAGGGGGAAACTGAGGCACAGACGGGCTAGGCCACATAGCTTACAGGTGGCAGGGCCAGATTTGAACCTCAGTCTTTGTCCTCAGGGCCCGAGGCTATAATGACCCACTAGAGAAAGGTCAGGAAGGAAGGATGCAGAGCACAGGGAGGGCCATTTGGGGGAGCTGTGAGTCCATCTCTTGGAGACATGCTTGGGTATAGAGGCGGGGGGCGGGAGTTGCGGGTGGCACAGGTGATCAGATTGACATGGACACTGGGGTGGTGAGGCTGGTGTGGACACTGGGGGTGAGGGCATGTAGGTACAGGACATCAAGGCTGGTGAGGACAGTGGGCTGTGAGGCTGGTGGGGATAACGCGGGGAGACTTTGAACGTGCTGGCCTGTCGTCCTCTCTCCTCTCCCTCTCCCCCGCTCCCCTGCCCAGGACTCACCAAGGAGCCAATATTGTGGGTTTTGGCATTGAAGGAGCCTCCAGCCTCTGCTGAAGGAGCCCAGGATGAGGGCTGTGACCACGACACGAAGGCAGATCTGGTTTTCAACTGGACAGTACCCAACGTGTCGGTCAAGGATGTGCCCAACTTTGAGATGCTGACGCCGGAGATGGAGGCTGGTACTGTCACTCGGCAGGGCAGGGATGTGTGTGGGTGACACGGGTGTGAGGTTGGTAGGGACAGTGGGTGATGAGACTACCACTCTACACGTGCTCACCTACCAGGCCATTCCCCAGAGACCAGGGCTGGGGACCCAGTGGCCGTGGCAGGGGTCTTGATCTGGAATACATAGCCCTGCACTATCCATGCTACACCACATGCCGAGGGCAAGTGCTGTTCTCACCCTACTTCTCCGAGGAGGACACAGGTCAGCGAGGACAAGGCAGTCCCTGAGGTCGCAGAGCCTGCCCTTTGAGTTCAAGCACAGGCTGGTGCTCAAAATGCCAGGTCCTTGTCACTGCTCAGAAAGTAGCTGGGGGTGCTAGGAAGTGGCCCCTACAGAAGGCTCTCAGCCACACCCCCAACAACACTCTGAATCGGCTCCATTGTACAAATAAGGTAAAGACAACACAGAGAGGTCGAGATACTTGCTCAAAGACACACAGCCAGGAAGTGACATGACCAGGGCTTAGTTCTGGAATGATCCACTCAGTCTACTCTTTCTCAGTGGCCTAATTGTCATACAAGTAATGATAATATTTTTTTTTTTTAAATTACTTTGATTGTCATAGGAAAAAACCCATAATAAATATCAATAATTTCTTTTTTATTTAAAAAAGTAACACTAGGTACCCAAACACTTGAGTATTGCTGGTGGAGGGTGAACTTGAGCTGCATTTCATGAGACGTAGAAGAGGAGCTGCCTAGCCAAGGAGTAGGAGGGATGTGAGAGCCAGGACAGAGAGCAGAGCACATGCAAAGGTCCTGGGGACAGCAAGGCTCTGGGAGGCCTGGGCTGCAGCACAGTGGGCACCATAGTGATGAGAACAGGGAGGCTGGGAGAGCTGGGCAGGTCATTGAAAGCTACCTGAGAAGAAAGGTGGGGGGAGCTCCTGGGCATCTGACAGGGGTGAGGGTCACTGATCCCTTTTCCGAGTGGACTGCTACTCTCAACTCTATTGCACTGGACTTACATCAGAGGACAGAGAGGGTGAGAGTGTTGGTTAGGGTCAGGGGTAGATTTACAATCAGTTTAGGAACAGTTATGGGCAGTGACAGTACTGGAGTTTAAGGCTAGGTTTAAGCTATTTTTTAGTTTGGCTTAAGGGTAGTTAAGATGAGAGACAAGAATAGGATTTTATGTCTAGCATTAGAGTTAAGGATTTTTGCTGTTAGGTGCCATTAAGTCTAGTATATGTCATAGTAACCCTGTAAATTATAGATCTGAACCTTGCCCTTTTATCCTGTGCCATGCTCACAATCTGACACGCTCGAGCCCACTGAAGCGGTGGCTGTGTCCACCCAACTGGTTAAGGATCTTCCTCTCTCTGTCCCTCCACCTTTCCAAACATGATGTCCCTCTCCAAGGAATAACCTCTCCTAGCAACATGTCCAAAGTATATGAGACGAAGCTTCATCATCTTTGCCTCCAAGGAGCACTCTGGGTGCACCGTCTCCAAGACATATCAGTTTGTTCTCTTGGCCGTCCATTTGACATTCAGAACTCTTCTAACACCACAGTTCAAAGGCATCATCAATATTTTTTTTCTGTCATCTTTATTCACTGTCCAGTCCTCAGATGCACAGCAAGTGACTGAAAAGATCATGGCCTGAATCAGGCACATCTTACTCCTCAAAGTCACATCATAGCTCCTCAATAATTTGGAATATGAAATGCCAGTAAGGTTTAGAGTTAGGACTATGGTTTATTACGTTTAAGGCTAGGGATTAAGCGTAGAGTTGGGTTTTTAGTTAGAGTTAAGGATGAGGGTTAGAATTTGATTTGGACCACCGGCTGAAGACACGCAAATATCTGAGGAGAGATGACGGTGGCTCAGGTCCAAGTGGGGACAATGGAGGGGTGTGTGAGGGGATGGGGTGAGGAGGTAGCAGAGCGCAGAGGTCCAGCCTGCAGAAAGTGCGCAGTCTACACCCAGCCCACATGCCTTCTCACACTGCGGAGCGCTGCGTCCTTCCCACAGACACAGGGGGCGCCCGAGAGCAATCTCCAGGACCTGACCAATCCCTGCAGGCCTCATCCACAGTGGCCACACCCCATGCTGTGTGGACTTCACATCTTCCAGAGCCAAGTCCTATCAGCACCCTCACCATGCAGAGAGAATGCGGGCTCAGGGAAAGGAGGGGATCATCCAGGACCCATGGCAGGTGGACTGTTGTCTGACCGTGGCCTGCTCAGGCTGCAGCCAGTGGTGGGAACTGTGGTCTGTGTAAGGTCACCAAGGAAGGACAGACCCTATGCAGGCAAAGAAAGACAGTTTCTTGAGGAGAAACTACCGGACTGGTTCTCAAGCAGAAGACCAGCCCCCACTAAGAGTTAGAGGGGGATTTTATACTTTCTTACACGGGAACTGGGGAAGGGGATGCTTACAGATGCTTCCTTCAAGTTAGGGAAGGGGGCTGGGGTCTCAGATTCCTGGGAAAATGGGGGTAGGGTAGTTTCACAGAGAGATTTTTCTCACGACTGCTGTTTCCTGTGATTGGATTCTCTCAGGAGGCATTCTGGGAGAGGAAGGAGAGGGCTCTGCAGTCCTAATAGTCGGAGGGTAGGGATCTGGGCTCTGGCTCTGCCCACCCTGATGCCCCATGGATTCCCAGCTGGTCCGAGTGCTGCTGTCAGTAGTCACGTGTCACTGTCACTGAGGGAAGCACATAGGCATCTACTCTGGCAAGCTTACCACAGGGGCAGGAGAGATGTTGACAGATGCCCATTCCTGGTAGTCACTCTCAAGCAAGTCCCTTTTTCACTCTGAACTTCAGTCTCGGCGTCAGTGGAGCGCACACGTGGTGTCCCTCTTCCAGGCCATGATGGGAGGACTAGCTTCCTGCTGGCTGGTGGAGGAGCCGCCTCTGAGGGTACTTCTTCCTCTGGACAGGGGAGGGTTGAGGTAGAAGAGTCTTAGGTGGCTTTTGGGTGATGCTGAGAGGGGTGGCTGAAAGGTGGCTCCCAGGTGAACTGACCGTGCCGTGGCTTCTCTTGCAGCCCTGAGGAAGGCCTGTGTGAGGAAATCCAGCGCCTGGGCCCGCTTCTGGCGCTCAGGCCCTGGCCAGGTGCTGACATACCTACTGCTGCCCTGGACGCTGCCTCTGGAGTACGTCTACTTCCGGTCCAGACGGTGAGGCCAGTGCCTTTTTTGGGGGAGGGAGACAGGCAGCCAGGACTGTGGGTTGGAGAACAGAACCCTGCAGAGGGTGGACAGAGCCGGGGGTGGAGCTGGTGCCTGCAGCCTGAGAGGAGAGGGTGGTTAGTCTCTGCTCAGACAGGCTTTGGGGAGGCCAGAGGGCAGTGAGATTAGAAATTGAGGTTGCTGGTTGTCACCCTGGCCAGTCCCTAGAGTCCCTGTGACCTCTGACCTACTGCTCCACCCATCAGAGCCACAGGTCAGTGCGCCTCCCCTGGTGATAGGTCCAGGAGCTGGTCCAGTTTGGGCTGCTGTGTCCTCTGGGCCAGATCTCTTGATCTCTAAGCTTCAGCTTCCTCTTATGTAAATGATGCCTTTCCAGGTCAGCCTGACCGTGCTTAAGCCCTCACTTACCTTCCCAACTGCTCACCTGTTGTGGTCACGCTTCATGGTTTGGCTGTTCCTTCCACTTAGAGTTTACTGAGGCCCCTCCTTTGGGGCTGGGCTCAGCTGGGAGCCACAGAGGCAGCGCTGAGCCAGACCCCAGCACCACTGGCCTGTTGGTCTCCTGGCTTACAAATGCTTGCGTGTGTGTTTGTGCCTCTCAGCTCCAACTAGAGCAGCCTCAGGCAGGTCGAGGGAGCTCTGGGCCACCTCCTGCAGCTGTCTGGCAAGAAGGCTGCCCGGAGGAAGTGACTTTCTTTTAAACTCAAGAGTTCACCAGGAAAAGAGGGAAAAGGGAAGTGTTCCGGAGAGCTGGAACAGCACATGCGGAGGTCCTGGGGCAGAAGGGAGTAAGTTAAGTGTGCTTGCGGCCAAGAGGGAGAGAGATGCATGATGGGGCTGCGGAGGCTGCCAGGGGCCAAACACGCAGGGCTCTGTAGCCAGGGGAGGAGTGTGGTCTGGGTCCTAGGAGTGCTGGGAAGATAGCGGTGAAAAGAACTTAAGTAGGGTGGTGTCTTGGACACCTTGGAGCTGCAGTAAGGCTATTTCTCCAACCCCTGGGGAGGAAGGTCTCTGACTCGGAGCCCGAGGTCTCTGTCCCAGGACCCACTGAGTTAATGACTAGGTCAGGTATGCTGCTTAAAGTGCTCGTGTCTAGAGCCAGGCCAGAGATTCTGCTGGCAGCAATGATCCCATGCCAAACTGCTAGACCCAAACCACAAGGAGCAATCGAAAGGACGAGTTCAAAGCCCAGCACTTTCCTTTAAAAGACAAACCCATTGTTGAGCGCCAGTGGGGAGGTTGGCCCCGACCCCAGGGAGATGGACGCTCGGCGTGGACGTTCACCCTGTGGGCTGCACCGTTGGGGCACGGGGAGGTGGTGGCCTGGCTTGTTTAGGTCATCACACCGCACTCTCTGGAATGTCTGCTCATCGGGGAGCCCAGCTTAGGGACTCCTCTTGGGGAGATGTAGGGGAGAGGAAATCGTCCAGTGTTTGGTGTTGGGCTCATTCCCAGTGGGCACCTGGCCAGGCCTCTGTCTGCCCTGGTGAGTGACCCAGCCATCTGCTGTCCTGCAGGATGGGGTCTCTACAGACAGACTGGACTTTTTCTCTACTGGGGACAGACTCTGTCTTTAGAGTCTGGCTCTGGGCACTGGGTTCTGTCACGAGGGCACTATGGAGCCGTGAGAGGGTGGGAGAGCTGTGACATGATGGATGTTTAAGGAAGGCTGCTTACTTCTGAGCAGAGAGTGGATGGAGGGGTGCATAGGGGAGAGCGCAAGGGTGATGGTGGGGCGAGGCTGCACTGGGCTGAGGCCGAGAACAAGAGGAGGGATGGTGGAGGAGGCCAGAAACCCCTGGCCCGGTGCCTGGGAGCTGGCCGGGGGGACTGGCACGTCCTGCCCTTGTGTGATAGGTGAGGACTCGTGGCGTGGAAGGTCACATAGCTCTGTGTGAGGAGCCAGGCTGCCCCCCAGGCCTGCCTGACCCACATTCTGCCCTTCCACCCCAACCTCCCCATCACCCAGGGGTCTGGCCATGTCCACCAAGTTCAGGTCCACCATGGACCATCCAGCACTTGTGTAGCTGCAGATGCCCCCGTGGGTCCAACCTGTCCTGGTCAGGGGGCGGTGAGAAGCACATAGGTTGGTTGTCTACCCTCCGCCGAGTGTTCCCCGCGACTCTGAGCTGCCTCCGCTCGGCGGGTGGTGCTGACACAGCCATCCTGCAGGGTGATGCTGTGGCTGCCCGACGCCCCGGCTGACCTGCGCTGGATACATGGCCTGCTGACCAGCTCAGCCCTCAAGCTGTACTGGAGGACAAAGGCCCAGCTCCTCGGGACTGCCAGGTGAGGCACACGGGCTGGGATTGGGGAGGGACTAGGGAGCGGCTGTGCCCAGGTAGAAGGTGAACCAGGGGTTCCACTGAACCCAGAGTCAGGAAGCACACACCATCCATGCACCCTGTCCGCATGCCCCTGCCATGTTTCTGTGCCGTGGGCAGCACGGGGGTCACACACCACCGTGTGGCTGACCCACACTGGCTGTGTGCAGGGACTGTAGCCTCATCCTTCGGTCCAACCGATCTGCTGGAGCGGTCACTGTGTCCTCCTTGGTAACCACGACTTGCTTGGCCACTATGTCATTCTTGGTCATTATGCCCCCCTTGGTCACCACACCATCCTTTGCCATTATGCTCTAGCTGGTCACCATGTCCTCTTTGGTCACTCTCTGTGGTCTCTTGACTGTACTGTCCTTGGTCACTGCCCCTCTGACTTACTGGACCTTCATGGTCACTAGACTCTCCCTAGTTACACTGAAAACTCACTGCTGTCCAATCGGAACGGACCCCCAGCTGCCCCTCCAGCAGCTTTGCTGTAGCTGTAGACCCCAGGGGAGGAGGCTGCCCAGCTTGGAGCCTCTGGTGGACCTGAGCTGCCGGGGAGTAAGAAGAACCCGCTGGGGTGACGCCCCCAGAGCTCCCTCCTTGGCCCCTACATCCCCTGAAGCCATTAGACGGGGATCTGGTGCCAAAGCCCATAGAGACTGGTGCTGCTGAGCCGAAGGCCGAGCCCTCTGGTGGTTCGAACCCACTAGCTGCTCTGGACGAGAGCTGGGCAATCTCCTCCCGTGGGAAGCAGCCTCTGAAGACTGCTGGAGGGTCAGCTGTGAGTCAGCTCCACGTCAACACCGTGAATTATGAGCCAGGCCCACGACGCAGTCCTAGACCACTCTGTCTTCCTGGGCCACTGCATCCCCCCCGGTCACTACGCTTTCCTCGATCATTACGTCCTTCTCGGTGATGCCCTCCTTGGTCAGTCTCCTCCCTGGTCACCACACTCTCCTGGGCCGTTGTGCCATCATTCTTGGTCACTACACCATCCTGAATCACCCTGTCACTCTTGGTCCCAAGGCTCTCCTTGGTCATTATGCCGCCCTTGGTCACTGCATCCTCCAGGGCCACTGTGCTGTCTGTCCTTGGTACATGTCTTCCTGGGCCATTATGTCCCCGTAGATTACTGTGCTATCGTTGGTCACTCCATCCCTGTCACAGAGATGGGCATGAGGCCCCACAGAGGGCGAGGGGGTTCCCTGCTCTGCCAGCTTTCTGGTCCTTCCGCTGTCATGCCCCCTGTGGGGCTGGCCTGGTGTGGTCTGGGGGCCTGTGCAGCCTGCCTGGTCCACCAGCAGGGAGTCCCCCAGTTCTCCCCCCCTCCACACACCCCCACATGACAGCATCTTTTCTAGCAGTGAGGTGGGCAGGTGAGTCCTTAGAACCAGCACCACCAGGTCAAGAAGCTCAGGTGCCTCAGGGAAGGGCTGTGAGACCTGGCCCCCAAAGGCCCAGGCTGTCCTACACCCACCTTCCCTGGCTTGGGCCTCACGGAGGACCCACAGCTTGTTTCTCCTTTCTCCGCAGCCCTCCACCCACCACGTCCCTGGCAGCCAATCCCCTGGATCCTAAACAAGCAACCCCGGAGGACTGAGTCCCGGAACCCAGACACAGCATCTAGGCCAGAAGGTGCCATGCCGGGTCTCCCCACCCTGAGCTGGCCACTTCCACTGACCTTCCCACTGTATGAGGTCTGGGTCTGACTCTCTCCCTCCTGGGTCAGTGTCCAGTCCCTGATCTGAGTGGAGGGCAGGAGGCCACCTTCTTGTTTTTTTGTTTTTCTCCCTTGGTAAGCCACAGATATTTCATGTATAAGGTTACAGATAATTCATTAACATAGTTTATAATCTAACCCATGCAAGGTGCATATTCATTACAAGGCAGGCTACAGCCCAGGACCAAACAAAAACACAAACTCTCTAGTTAGAACACTAGAGGTAATTTTTCAAGGATTGGGGTGAGAAATCCCTCAAAGTGTTTTTCCAAAGAGCTAAGGCAAACGGCCACATGAGGAACTTGTTTAAGCACGAGTCATACCAATGCAGGATTTGGATCCTAAACATAGTTATTTTTTAATTACTAAACAACAACAAAGTAAACAGAGACACACACATAGGGGAAGACAAGCCAGCGGCTTTACTGGGAATCCAACTGAGATCCTAATTTGGACTTTATAGCCTCAGAATTGTGAAAGGGTAAAGCTCTGCTCTTTAAGTCCACCCACGTGAGGTCCTTTTGTTACAAAGCACTAGGGAACTAAGACTTCATTTATGCACAGTTGTTACATAGCGCTGATTCAGAACCAACTCATAGCTGACTCTCCAACAGCTTTTCAGACGTAGGAAATGGCACGAAAAGAGACTACCCCTCTTTTCTCCCATGGGGCAAGTGGTGGATTAGACATGCCTTTGGATTGGCAGCGAAATTCCTTACCACAAGGCCACCAGAGCTCCCTATCAAGTACACATTGCTGTTATTATGTGCTGTCAGTTAAATATGACTTATAGCAACCCTATGGCCAGATCTAAAACCCCTGTCCCATCCTGCGCCATCCTTACCAGCTCTGACATCCTTAAGCCCACTGCTGCAGTAACGGTATCAATCCACCTACGTAAGCGTCCTCCCCTTCTTCGCTACCCTCCATCTTTCCAAGCATGCGGTCCCTTTCCAGGGAGCAATCTCTCCTCACAACGTGCCCACAGTATGTGAGATGAAGCTTACGTGTGCTCATAATCTAAGAGGTGTCCAGAACGATGCTCTTCGGAACATTAATACCAACTGTACCTCAGGATAGGGTAAATGTGGATAAGAAGATACATGTCTTTGCATTTTCTAGAATCTTTAATGATTTTAAAACAGGAAGGCATAGTATATTTTTTAGAAAAAGAATAAAACTATTCTTTAAAAATTCTACATGGAGCAGATTTATTTCACATCTACATTAAGAATCAGTGTTTAAACACATAACAGAACCCTGTTGGTGCAGCAGTTAAGTACCCATCAGTGGTTTGAACCACAAGAGAAATATGTTGCAGTATAAAGATTTAATTTCTAAAGATTAGGGACCCTTGGAGATGTTGTCCTATATATAGGGTTACTAAGTCAATTCAACACCCAAAGGGGTAGTTTTAAATCTAAATATATATACTTTTAAAAAATGATTTCCTATTTATGACATACAAAAGTGGCAAGATACTTGTTTTTAAACACTAAAATACACACAGAAAGGCAGAAAATATTTATATTATGAAAACAGCATGCATCAGCCAAAAGGCTATGCTGTACATACTGAGTGCAGCATCACTACATGTTTTTAATTTACAGACACAACACACATCAGCACAGTATTATCATGTTTAATGTCAAAGGACAAACTATATTTATAAATATTAAGTTATTTTGTATGTATTCCATTTATAAAGACTGCTGGTGATGTTTTCTACTTTAGCTGAGATTAGTCAACAACACAAACTTACTCTCTTGCCAAGGATTTTTCTTTGCATCTATTACAATGAATATGGAAGCTGCAAGACAACTTAGAACTTATTCAATAGAACTATTACATAAGCAATGAGGAAATAAGCTCAGAAAAGTTAAAAGGCTCCTCTAGTTTCTAATACCCTGATATATGATCATAAGGTTCAAAATAGATTATTCGTTGGTGGTGCTATTGTGTGCTGTCAAATTGAAATCAACTCACAGCTGACACTCTATAGTGGGTTTTCACCTTCTGCCACTACGCTTGCTCAGGGCTGGTGGGTAGGTTACTCCAGGGAGCCGGCAGAGGCCCCCCACCCCTCCCAGGTCCCTCTCCTCGCAGCCTGTCTCCTGGGGCCCCTGTGGGCACTGCTTGGTTGAGGCTCGTCGGTGTCTCAGCTCTCAGCATGGCCAGGTGTCCCTGCCCAGAGCTTGCCTTTTCTCATGGGGACATGGAGAGGGGAGGGAGTGGCCTGCATCTCAGTTCTGGATTCTCATAGGGTGAGGCTGGGGTGGCACTGCTGGGAAGAGGGGCCAGGCACCGTCTTTGAGCTAGATTTGCAGAGTACTCTGTGAAAGGAGAAAATGACCTGTGCCCTTATCAGAGATGATTGGTGCCATGGGGGGACGATGGGCAGTGATGCCCTTCTTCCATCTGGCATTGGGCCCTGGGGCTGAAAACGAGGGTCTGCCTGCCTCCGTTCACCTTCATCTCCCATCCACCTTGGCCGTCCAGTAATTGCACCTGTAGCAGGTGGGAGGAGAGGGGTGGGCACATCCTTCTGTCTTTGCAGAATCCCAGCTGCATCGGGCCCTGGGGCTGACCAGGGTCTGCCTCCCTCAGCTCCTCTCCTGGGCATCTGCCCCTCCTCTTCTGGGTACAATCTTCACTCCCTGCCACCCTAAGACATAAAGGGTGCTGGGAAGGCTGGCCCTCCTCCTGGCATCTGCCCCTCTTCTCCTGGGCACACTCTTCACTTCCTACCACCCTCAGACATAAAGGGTGCTGGGAGAACTGGCGCTCCTCTCCTGGGAATCTGCCCCTCTTCTCCTGGGCATCTGCCTCTCCAGATGAGTGAAGACGGCGAGAGTGGAGAATGCAAGCTGGCATGAGAGGAAAAGGGCTAAAGAATAAATCTGTGACCACAAAAGACGCTAAGGGTTTTATCACCCATCATGAGACCCAGCCTCTGGGCATAACCCAGCAGCAAGCCAACTCCCCTTTGGGGCAGGCAGGGCTGAAGCCAAGTCAGAGGGCTGTGTCCTTCCAGGATACTCAGTCTGCATGTTGAACAATCATCTGGGAAGCCGGGAGGTGTGAAGAAGAACTCGGCATCAAAATGAGAGGGAGATCTATCAACAACCTTGATGACACAATCTTCCTTCTTGAAAGTGAAAGGAACTCGAGACAGTGTTGAAGATAACCCCCTCAGTCTTCTGTATGGATTACACCCCAACATAAACTCCTCACAAATACACCAGGATGAATGGAGAAAATCCTGAAGCTGCTGAGGATTTCATTTTACTGAAACCCACAAACGACTCCATGGAGGGGCAGTCTACAAATCGGGTAATTTATAAGTCTGCTGCAAAAGACCTTTATAAAGTGGTGGGTTTTGTTCTGTTTTTTAAAAAATGTGAAGCTCCGGCGCTGGCTGAAAATCGCCTGTGACTTCATCCATAGCCACTGGTGAGAGTCAGCGCCCAGAGCCATCAGGGGCTTTAAGCTCGTTGCCCACTGCTGTGGTGTGGACAGCTGAAACCCAGGCCCCAACAGGCACCTGGGGGGGAAAAAACCCAGACTCTACTTCATGCTCTGCTGGAGAAGGAGGGGCAGTCTCCTGTACCAGTCAGATCCAATTTGACGGTACACACACACACACACACACACACACACTTTTTCTTCTTCTTTTTTAAAAAAAGACTACTTCAGCCATCGCGGCCCTCTGCCCGGGGCGGGCTGCCCTCAGCCCCCTGCCCAGGGCGAGCCGTCGCGGCCCTCTGCCCGGGGCGGGCTGCCCTCAGCCCCCTGCCCAGAGCAAGCCGTCGCGGCCCTCTGCCCGGGGCAGGCTGCCCTCAGCCCCCTGCCCAGAGCGAGCCGTCGTGGCCCTCTGCCCGGGGCGGGCTGTCCACGGTCCTCTGCCTGGGGCGAGCTGTCGCGGCCCTCTGCCCAGGGCGAGCCGTCGTGGCCTTCTGCCCTGGGCGGGCTGCGCTTGGCCCCCGGCTCAGGGCGAACCGTCGTGGCCCTCAGGGTGAGCTCCTCAGTCCCCAGATTGTGCCATCTGACCCCTGGGTGGGGAAGGAGAAGAAAAAAAAAAGAATGCCTAGGGTATCCAGAGAATGTTACCTAGGCCACCTTCTGCCACCTCCACCCCCCAGTAAACCTGAAAGCAACACCCTCAAAGCCCTTCTATTTGTAACTCACAAATTTGTTCTCTCTAGGTTTGCTCCCTTTCCTATAGGTAACCTTAACTCTGAGTTTTACTCCAGAATTGACCCTGAACCCAGTGCCAGTGACAAAAAGGAAATACAACTGACAGCTAAGGAAGCAAAGGAGGATGGAGCCTCTGGGTTCAACCAGCCATCCCCACTGGACCCACCTGGGAAAACACTTTGCAGTCCAGAGGGGAGCAAATGACAGGAAAATATCTTCTAACAGAGCAAGAAGGCAAGCAGCTGTAACCCAAGACCACCAGTAAGGTGATAAAGCATCCTCCCTTCCCCCCTTTATCTCTACGCCCCTGTTCAGCATGAAGAAGCCAGAGAGTCTGCATCCAATTCCCAAATTAATAAGACAGTTGGTTTAATTACTATTGGAAAATGCTTGTCATTCCTCTGTAGCATCAGGTCCCCACTAGACCCTCATCATTTCCTTCACCTGCTCCCCCCACCGACCAAACTGTGCAGCTCTGCAACTGCATCTTGGCCCGTCCTCACCCTTCTGCCCCCAACCCTCACCTCCTTGTACCCCCAATATGTTTTTCCCAATTAAAAAAATATTAAATAAAAAAAGTGTGAAGCTGTCTCTGAGGGTTGAAGTGTGTCTGACCATGGTATTTTCAATCACCTCAGATGACAGGAAATTAAAATATGAATTGCATTGTGAAAGTCTGTACT